ACGGGTCATTTTAATTTTCAAACATTTACATATTTTCATCCATTTTCTTATGCATATAAGTTGTATATTTTAACGATTCTCATGTTAAAGTTAGATTCAAATTTATTATGATAAATTGTCATTGAAATTTTTTAACGATTACGTATTTGAAGGTACGAAATGTGTAATTTCTTCATTAAATGTACAGATTTCGATACCTCCTATCTTGATCAGTAACATTTAATATGAAGAAAAAGTTATATTTGCTTAAAGTTTTCATTATAAATAGGACGTTTCATGTGCTACAACCTCACACTGGTATTAACGCGTGCTGTTTTACCGGCCCGCTTGTTCGCTGGCTCGAGCGTCCTGGCTTACGCCTATGCTCTGAACGCGCGCTCCTCGGGCGCTGTGATTGGTCAGTGTTTTTCGTTAATAATTCAAAAACGAAGCCCCATCCGACATTTTTGCAAAGAAAATTGTTGTTCAGAATCGTCTCAGCTACCCCCCATTTCCGGCTCCTCCCCGACTTTTGGGACACCCTGTATACATATACATTACTGTATACATTAGGGTGGACCTTAGTTATACTTGGTTAAAAATTTTTTTATGCTACAGGGCGTCCCACCCCCCAAAAGCATGCCTTTTGGTGAGAAAAAAATTTGGTTAAAATTTGAGATTGATCGGATAAAAGGAACCCGTGCCCGAATCGATTTGAAAATTTTGAAATTGGATAGAGCGTCGTAAGGATACTTGATAGTAGGTCGTTGGATTTGTCTTTTTTTTTGCGAATAAGAATATGGAAAAAAAATTATAATTACCTTCCAAAAAATGCGAATGACCTTGAAATGTTGAAAATATGATGTCAAAAAATGTTCGCGAACTGGTGTCACATTCGCGCAGACTGCAGAAATGAATGCTCTCTGTCTTGGTTGTAATGTAAAACTTTATTCTCGTCAATTCGAAATTCGTTGCAATCACACACAATAGACCAGTAAACACAAACTGGGCTGATGCATTGTTTATAGAGTCAATTCGAGTTGGCAAATGAATTTTCCTAAGCGATACCTGTCAAAGATGAGTTTACTATCGACGGTTGAAGCTGTCAGACATTAACGTGGAACACGTTGCACTGGTCAGTCCGCTTGGCGCCGTTAATATATAAATTCAGCCGCCTGCTGGTTGCTGAGCTGGTGCACTGATGTGCTGAACTTCACCTTACCGCACTCCGGGATGAGTTTAACTATGAATTTGAGCTGAACTTGAGGTAGGCTGGTAAAAATGTCCAAAAAGTCTGGTCGTGATCCGTTTACTTTGAATACTAGATTCACAATGGCGTCTCAGCGCACGTGGCGCGAGCACGCGGCCGTTGCGCGTTCCTAAACTCGTTCGAACTGATCGATGACTGATCGATGGGACGCCGGCAGCCTCACGGCGCGTCATTTGAGAGCCGATTCGCAAACAAAAAAAAAATTTATTCTTGCTAATTTATTTATTGTAATAAACAGTGTAACTTTCTCCTCAGACATTTTTCGATATAGTTATAAACAACGGAGATATTTAAATAATTACATTCAAATACCTACTCCAAAATCAAACAATAGTGTGTCTTCAATCATTTAAATAAAATATTTACCAATTACATCTGCTCTGAAACAATGCTGGAAAAAGCTTAAAATTACTATTGTATCTACCTCAGGTATAGTCTGTACCCTCCATAAACCTGCCTCCTGTAGTTGATAGCAAGTGAAGACCGATTTCTTAAAAAACGATCCCGCAACTTGGGAGAATGATGCATCTTTTAAAGTAGGCTTAAGTATAATTAAACATTTAAGAGTAGTGAATAATACTGCAGAAAGAGCGATTAAATTAATGTCCGACTATAATAAAATATTAGCACGCGGCGAAGAAGAAAAACAACTGATTCTCCATATTGTTTCAGATTACCGAAAACAATACCCCGACGTTAGAAAAAGTACCTTAGCCAAAAATATGTAGAAGTAAGACCTTTACTTCTACATTCAAAATTCACAAACTAAGCACATTTTGTATAAAAAATTTAACTCCGAACGTGTTGTTTAACTTATACAAAATATATTCTAATATCACTATTATAAATATTTTTACATATAAAACATGTTTTCTTAATACAATCATGCCTCAAAGACAATTTAGATTATCTTGCAACTTGCAACTAACTGATACCTGGTGAATTTGCGTATAACTATATCAATATATTCGTTGTTTATAACTATATAAAAAAACATTTGAGGAGAAAGTTACACTGTTTATTACAATAAATAAATTAGCAAGAATAAATTTTTTTTTTGACATCATATTTTCAAAATTTTAAGGTCATTCGCATTTTTTTGGAAGGTAATTATAATTTTTTTTTCCATATTCTTATTCGCAAAAAAAAGACAAATCCAACGACATATTATTAAGTATCTTTACGACGCTCCTTTTAACCAAATTTTTTTCTCACCAAAAGGCATACTTTTGGGGAGTGGGACGGAAAAAATTCGATGGTCGCAAAATAAGGTCCCCCCTAGTATACATACATTACTCCACTACTCCCAAAAATTAGCGGGACACTTTTTCAAACCGTCGTAACTATTGGAGTTTTTAACCGATTGAAATGAAACTACGTGAGAAGTACTTTTGAAGTGTCCCCTAGTTTTCGCATTGTTAGCCGGGGGGGTGGGGGTGGGGGGTGGGGGGAGCACTACTGTGCTCCCCGGTGTTCTTTCGGGCGCATGACACTTTGGCCTTGTCCACAGTCACACCTGGCCTGAGCGAGGAGCTTTGGGGCAGGCGGGAACTCATTACCTCGGCTTCCTGTTTCGACCCCGCGTTTCGGGCGATCCTCGTTTTCTCTTGGACCCGGGCCTATCCTTTCGAGGATGCACGCTACTCTGCTGGGGGTGGTCTATCATTGGGCGGGGCCATTCTACCTATTTGTCGGAAATGCCGAAGCGGGGTTGGACGTTGGGCAATCCACATCCCTCAGGACCTGCAGTACCAGCCTGCATGTTCGCCCCTTTACACCATGAATCAAGGTTGAGAGCCCTATGCACCCCCGATTTGGTACGCCTGAGGTCGTCATGCGATCCTTGTTCTCAGTCGGAGTGTTCCGTATCTCCGGCTGGATTGGTTCCTTTTTCAATTCTACCACCCCCCTCTCCCCTTCCCTTTTAATCCCTAGCACTCCCCCCGTCCCTCTTGCCCCTACCCTCCTCCTTTGGAGGTTTTGGCTATCTAGACGCGGTTTGCCAGCAACCCCCCCCCCCCCCCCGCCTCTTCGTTATCTATCCCTCTCGGGTCCTGGTCCGAATGAAGGCTTGCCACCGTTCATCCGTGCCAGAGTTTCCGGCTTATACATGATTCTATTTATCCCCTTTTTTGTCGCACCTGGTCCTATTACTGCATTCCTTTTCTTTCTAAGTGCGGCAGGGAGGAGTATTCGGGTGAGATGTCCCCACAGCATATCATAATCACACATGACTTTCGTGGATGGACTACAGCCGTCGAGCTCGCCAACCCGTCCTCCCTGTCACTCTTTCCTACTTGGCGAGCCTATTCTAATGGTATTAGGTTGGGTTGTTTCGTGTTCCCCTTGGCTCTCAACCCCGAAATCATGGCGAATTTCTTACTTTGCTCGCGGCCACCACCCGCTTCAGGGGGAACAAATTGGGTTTCCCCCTTCTCCATGCTGGAAGGTTGTTTCCACTGTTTGGAAGGGTCACCACCCCTTCCACAGGGTCCGTAGATCCATCTGTGTGGTTCCGTGACCCCTTTTCCTACAATGGTGTAGTTTGGTCGGTCGGTCACCACCCGTCCTAGGCCGAACTCCTCCCGTTCTGTGGGGAGGTGCGCGAGCCCTTTTCTAGGAGATGGTTATTGTGTTCGGTTACGGTGGATTCGCCGAGGCGCAGTCGGCGCATCTCTCTGCCTTGCGTACTTCCTGTTACTAGATTATTTCGTTTACTGTGATGAGAAGTCTGACCGGGACGCGAGTGGGGGGACTCAGACGTCGTCAGCCGTAGGTATGGTGGCCTACGGTAAGTAAAGTACTGAATATTCCCGCTCTCAGCTCTTGGTATGGTACCATGGCCTGTCCCGTGCTCTACTCTTTCCCTTGCTATGTCCTTCTGTTCTACACCCAGCGGAGTATGAGATCTGTACAGTGTCATTCCTGTACGGTTTTTCTGCGAGATACCCCTCAGTCCGTCTGGTGCCTGCCTTGCTGATACCTTGTTCTGAGGCCAGGGACACAAGCCCTTCCACGGAGTCAGTGGATCCATCTATGTGGTTCCGTGACTCCTTTTCCTACGATGGTGGAATTCTTCTTAACTGTGGCCACGTCAGCATTACTGCCATCGTGCCATATTTGTTGCTGTGGCCATGCCGATGTTTCCATTGACGTGCCATCATCCTTGCTGCGGCCACGCCGATGTTTCCATCGACATGCCGTGCTCTTTACTGTGACCTTGCCGATGTTTCCATCAACATGCCATGATCCTTACTGCGACCACGCCGATGTTTCCATCGACGTGCCGTGCTATTTACTGTGGCTACGTCGATGTTTCCATCGACGTGCCATGATCCTTACAGTGGCCACGCCTGTGTTTCCATCGGCGTTCCGTGCTCTTTACTGTGGCCATACCAGCATTTCTGCCGGCGTGGCATAACTCTTACTCAGCACCCTTGTTCTGGTGATTCAGCGGAATCTGACGGGGACGCTGCTTTGAGGGGCCCATGTGATTATTCCTTTCTGACTTAGTGGCCTGTCGGCGATCACATTTTTGACCCATCCTTCCGTCAAGTTTATCTGACAGTGCGCGTCCCTTGCTCCTTACATTTGTGTGCTGTCTTGTTTGTTCCGTATTTCCTCCTTCTGGGTTTGAGCGATGGGATGGGCCCTTCGGATCGACTGTTGGTCTTAACGCCCATCGGTGATCCTTCTTGGGTTCCTCCCATCGTCCTTTCGTTTACTTAACTCGTTTCTTGTCAGATTACTGTTACATTTTGGTTGTTGTGAAAGGGGTAGCCCTAGCCTCGCTCCCCTCTGTGATCCACTGCCTCGGCAGGACTCCGTTGGTTTCCCGTTTATTGGGTGTTTGCCGTATAGTCCCGTTTTCCGCTATCTTTGGATCTTCTCCACTTTTCCCCTTTCCTTCTCTTGTGTTTACATCTTCTAATCTCCATGGATTGATGTCGGCGAGGAATGCTATCTTTTTCGGATCAAGTGTTTTTATATCATTAGGGTCTATGATAAACTGTTCAAAGTATCTGCCTCTTTTCATCACTAATCTTGGACATTCGCATAGAATGCGTGTCGTTGTCTCTGGAGCTTCTCCGCACTGGTTACATAGATCGTCTGGACATTTGCCCATCTTGTTCAGATGTGCTTTTAAGGGAGCGTGTCCTGTTAGGACACTGCGTGTCCTGTCGCTCACCACGTTTCTCGCGTCTTCTTTCTTCAAGTTGAGAATCTGTTTGATTCTCTTTTTATTGTTTATTTCGGTGCCGAGCAGCGTTTTAGCTTGCTCGCATCCTTGTGTCTCTTTCCATTTTCTCTTTTTCATAGAGTTCCTTAGTCTCTCTATTTCCAGTGTGTATACCGTTTCTGGTATTGGGATGATTGATTCCGGCCCCATCGGAGGTTCGTCTGATTCCCTGTTTGCCAGTCTGTCCGCTTTTTCGTTGCCTATTATACCGTTGTGTCCCGGTACCCATCGTATTGTTATTCTGTTGTTTATGGCAAGTGTGTTTAATGTTATCTTGCATTTTTTGGTTATTCTTGATGTGATTTCGGCTTTGTCCAGTGCTTTGATTGCCGCTTGGCTATCTGTACATATTGTTATTCTCTTGCAGTTTATGTTCAGGTTAAGCATTTCTTGCGTGCATTCAGATATGGCTATTACTTCAGCCTGGTATACTGTAGCATATTTACAAAGTTGTTTGAAGCCTTCGTTCGATAGGCCTTTCCCGCAGTACCAGCCTGCACCGGAGAGGTTCTCTTTCCTAGAGCCGTCCGTATACCATACTATGTCGTTGTTTTGATGTAACGTGGTAGTGTTCCATGTCTCTTTGGAATCAATTTTGGTTTCGTATTTTTTCTCGAATATGTATTCTGTGATTAGTCTGTCTTTTGGGACCAGATACATGTCTTTAATTGATTCATTGCCATTCTGTTTGATTATTTGGCTGTGACCTCTGTCTATATTTTCCCAGTGACCCCAGCCGTGTAGTCTCATGGCTGTCTTCATCGCTAGTTCTTTTATTTTAACGTCTAGGGGGGAGCAGTTGGTTATTACCTCTAATGCTCTTGTTGGTGTGGTTTTTAAAGAACCGAAGGAAGTGGACTCCTTCGCCGAAAAGATCGACGCGACATAAAGACCGGGTGGCCACTAGAATAAGTAAATTAAATAAAACATTTAGCCAGTAGAGGAGCTGAATACAATTTCTGCTGTTCAAAATATGATGCTGGTAAGGTAAGGTAGGCTTTATAAACAAGCGAGACGTCAACGACAATGTATGATTGGAGCGAGCAGCTGTGCCGAGATATTGTAAATATCATTGTAATCAGAAAAATGTCACAAATGTAATATTGCAAGTCTCGCTTATTCGGCAGAGTCTAGTCGATATTTACAATAATTTTTCGAACTATATTTTACGTGTAACATGATAATCCTGGAGAGGATGCAAGGACTTGCGCATTGTCCTATTTTTGTTTCGACAATGCAAAATTGAGACTTTTCAATAGTCGTTTCCGCTAGATAAATGTTCAAGCTAGAGCGTAAGCTCCCATAGGGACTCTACTTTTGCTTTTTTCTGTCATAATTAACAATATTCAGCAGCGTATGTTAGCTTAGACAACGTGGCAGCACTGTCGCACCACCATATTGCTTCTTTTGATCGCGAAGTACTGCTGAATATTATTAATTATGACACAAAAAAGCAAAAAGTAGACTACCTATAGGAGCTTGCGCTCTAGTTTGTACATTTATCTACCGGAAACGACTATTGAGAGGTCTCGAATCTGCATTGTCGAGACAAAAATAGGACAATGCGGAACCCTTGCAGTTCCGTGTACGTATACAGTGGTGTGGAGCTGTGTGAGTGCGTACGAGCACATACAAGGCACGGGAGTCCATTCCCTTAAGGCTGTGCCTTGTATGCTATCTAGTTTCGTGGTGGCTGTGATCATGTTGGATGTTTGCCACCAGACGATGTTCCCGAATGTTGCTCTCGGTACTATGATTGCTTCGTAGATCCATTTGGTTGTTATGGGATTTATGCCCCATGTTGGATCTAGCATTCTGCATAGAAGGTTGAGGTTCTTTTTTGCTTCTGCAACTTTTGAGAAGACATGTTCTCTCCATGTCAGTTTCTCGTTTATTGTCACTCCCAGATACTTCACTTTCCTGGTGGTTTTTAGTTCTTTGTTGGCGAATTCTAATGTGCCTAGATTGGGTCTCTTTATTTTCTGACTGATAGACCTACCGATTCGTACCATTCTTCTAGGGCTATTAGTGCGTCTTGAATTCTTGTTCTGATTTGAGTCATGTTTTTTCCTTTTGCCATGAATACCACGTCGTCCGCATAGGCCATTACCATGACATTGTTGTCTTCAAGGGCGTATAGGAGACTGTCCACTGCCAGACACCATAGTAGTGGTGATAGTATTCTTCCTTGTGGGCATCCTCTTTGGACAGTGCCTTGGATCGTAGTTTCGCCTCTGCTGCTTATTAGTTTGCGATTTTCTAGCATGTGTTTGATCCATCTTATCAGACATGCTTCTACTCCGAATTCGTGGAGGGCTTGTATCATTACCTCCGTTGGTGTGCAGTTGAACGCGTCCTCTATATCGATGAAGCAAGCCACTACTATTTCTTTTTTGTTAATGACTGTTTCCACGAAGTTGACTATTTTGTGTAAGCCGGCTCTAAATGCGTTCTGAAATTTGTGTAGAGGCTTCGTGTTTAAGTTTGTGCTTGTTATGTGTCTATCTACTAATCTCTCGATGAGTTTTAGTGTTGTAGACATTAGACAAATTGGTCTGAAGACCGCTGTGTAGTCATGTTTACCCGGTTTGGGGAGGAAGACTACTTTCGTTCCTTGCCAGCTGTTTGGTATTATACCCAGAGCTAGGCTAGCTCTGATAATTTTTGTCATGTAGTTTCTTGCTTTCTCATTCGCTGTTGTCATCTTGAGTGTTTTTGGGTATATCCCGTCTGGGCCGGGGGCTTTGTATGGTTGGAATGTGTTTACTGCCCATTTCAGTTTCTCCTGGTTTATGATTTTGTTGGCCGTGTTCCAGTCAGCCGGTTGGTTGTATGCTGTATTGGAGGCGTTTGTTTCCTCTGTTGTATCTTCGCTTATTGTTAATTCTTGGAACCCTGGGAAGTGAGTGTTCATTAGAGTTTTTATAATTTCATGATTATTGTTTGTGTAGGTCCCTTCGGCATTTTTTAGGGTGCCTAGTGCTTCATGTGGTTTTGTTTCAAGTAGTTTGTATAGTCTTGCTGTTTCTTTTGCAGAGTTGAAGCTGGCGCAGTATTTCTTCCAGCTGTTTCTTTTGGCTTTTAGTACGTTGGTTGTTAGAGTTTTCTTGGCTTCTTTTACTTTGGCCCATTTGCTTGGATCGCGTTTATTCCTTCTTGCTATTTTAGTGAAATTCTTAATGAGCTTTTGTTGGTTCGCTATTTCTAGTTCCACCAAGCTATGTCGATTTTTGTTTTGCACTCTTTTTCTTCGGTGCTGTTCTCTCAGGCTTCGGCAATAGTTTTGGTTAATGCCTCGGCTGCAATGTTTAGCTCTGTGCTATTGCTGCCGTATCTCAATGGGAGGTTGTTGATCTTTGTGTCTATTTCTTCCATGAATTCAGTCCATCTGGTTTTTCTTGGGTTTCTTCTGCTGATTGGTGTTCTTGTTGTTGGCTCTTCTATTTCAAAGGATATGTATCTATGGTCGGAGAGGCTGTCTTTATCTAACACTCTCCAGTTTTTTATCCTATGAGACATTTCTCGAGTGCTGTACATTGCATTTAGTACTTCTTCTCTTGTTCTTATTACAAATGTCGGGGTGTTGCCTCTGTTGTGGCATATTAAGCCGAATTCGTCTAGGAATTCCACCATTCTATTGCCTCTGGTGTTGGTGTCAGTGCTGCCTCATCTAGCGTGACTTGCGTTCACGTCGGCACCAACAATTGCTTCGATGTTCTTTTTTATGCACCATGTTAGTATTTCTCTGTGTTTGTCACCTGGGGGTGATTCTGTAGCATTCCATGGTAGGTATGTTGTTATGGCGAGTCATCTGTAGTTTTCTTGGTTGTTATTGTTTGTTGGGCTAGGGCTTGTATTTGGATTCTTGCATTCGAAGGCCACTACAGTGTTATCCCTGTTACTTAAATGTGGGATCAGAGTAGCCTCGAGTCCCTTTCGTGTGAGAATGCATGTTCTCATTTTGCCATCGTTTGTCGGTGTGTGTATTTTTCCCGTTAGTCCAAGACCTCTAGGCGCATTATGGCACACCCAGGGTTCTTGGATTAGGGCTATATCTGCTTTTGTTCTTCTCATTGTTTCGACTAGGGTGGCAGTCGCCCCCTTGCTATGTTGTACGTTGATTTGTATGATTTTAAGTGCCATGTTGTTTAGGTTTTTGGGTTTTGTGTGTTTGTGTTCTGGTTTGTTCGTATATTTGCTAGTTAGTATGGTTGTTCTCCGCTTTTCTTCGGTAGGCTTAGGTTAGCTTGCTGTGTATTGTGATAATTGTTCTTTGCTTTATTTCTTCTTTTGTTCTTCGTCTCTTATCTTGTCTTTTCTTTTATGGTTTTCTTCCTTTCTGACTTTTCTTTGGGGTTTGTTTGCGTTGTTTAGCTAGCTCGGTTAGCTAGATGTATGTCGGATAGAGGGGATGTATGAGATGATGGGTCCCCCTATCCTCTTCCTCGCCGTTGAAGCCGATGAGATGGTTTTTTGGGGAAGGGGGGGGGTGAGTTCTGGCTCGTTGGCGTGGTCCAGGGCGCGATTGGTCCCCCTGCCCGGTTGGCAAGGTGCTGAAAGTCATTTGAGTGTGGAGTGGAGTTGATATATTTGTTTGTTCTTATTGGTTTTGTGGTTTGAATCTCGATTGTTATTATTATTTGTTGTTGAGAGGGGTGCATGGTGGGTGTGGTGTTGTGTAGATGTAGTGTTATTGGTTGTTGTATTCTTCTTTCCTTTCTTACTTCTTTGTTACCTTTTACCATTTCCATCTATTCATCTCTTTTTTTTATTATCCTGATGTCCTTTGTTGGTCTTCTGTCCCTGTTTGTGTGCTTTTGTTTGTTTCGTTTTGTTTTAATTTGGTTTTTGTTGTTTGTCGTGTGTATATCATGGGATTTTGGGGGATTTTTATGTTTTGGTGTCTCTTGATGTTCAGTTGGTTCGGCGTTTCGATGGTCTTCTGGCTGTTGTTAACCCTGTTCCGACTCCCTCCACCCCTGCGGTTAGGCCCTCGGTCCCCCCGTTTAGGCTGGATATAAGTTTCCAGTTCCTATCCAGGGGGTCCCCTGGTTAGCCCGGTTCCCTGGGAGCGGGCCCTGATACTCACATGCATGGGGGTCAGAACCCGTCTTTCCCAGGAGCGGTACGTATACCGCGTGTTCCATCGCTCAGGTGGGTTGTCCCCGCAGTACGTGGTGGGTTGTCCAGAGCAGGGTTGTTGGTGGTTGGTTTTGATGTTGTCTTCTGTCCTCTGTCTTCTTTTATCTTTTACAGTCTTCTTGGTCCTTGATGTAGGTTGTGGGACGTGTGTTCGTCGTGGATTCTTTTGGTTTTGTGTTTGTTGGCATTATGCATGGACGTAAGACCCCCCTAGTTCACATTCCGCGCCCTGGCCTCAGCGCGGAACAATATATTGAACTATTCCTGCGTCAGCACGTGGTTCCAATAGCGGCTGAGGTGCACAACTTCGTGCTGATGCAAGATAATGCGCGCCCCCACACCGCGCGCATTACTCAGACCTTTTTGGCGGAAAACAATATTACACTAATGAAGCAACCGGCGGTAAGCACGAATTTAAATCTAATAGAACATTTATGGGATAACCTCAAACGACGTATTACGGACCACATCCCTCCTCCGCGGACCCAAGCAGAGCTGATTCAAATCGCGCAAGAAGAGTGGGACGCGATCCTTATCAGTGTCGTGAATAAATTAATTGCAAGTATGCCGCATCGCTTCGAGGCGGTTATCAATGCACAAGGTAGAACCACCCAATATTAAAAATGTATAGTTTTTTGCTAATTATTAAGTTTGTAAATAGTGTAAATACTGTAAATACTGTAACATTATTTGTAATTCACAGTTTTTTTTTTAAGTTTTTCGCTAATTATTAAGTTTATAAATAGTGTAAAATTTATTGTTATTTGTAAGTTTTTTTTAACGGCTTTATTAAATTTTAGATGAATTAAATTTGACTTAAAGATTAGAATTCCAAAAATTAAAGTTTTTGTCCTTTTTTTTTGCAAATTGTCTTCGAAATCGGGTGTTTATTTTTCGCCACGCGCGAAACTCTTCTGTTTAATTAAAAAGCAAAAATTAACTCTTTCGCTTTGGTAGGGCATTTTTCTAACACACGCATTGGAACATTGTAAGAGCGCGGCGCGACCCCGCGAGGAACGCAGAAGACAGGGAAAGTGGAAGAGTACCGAGCGGGGTACGATGGGTTGCCTAGCTGCCGGACGCTCTTGAATGCTGGCTCCGTCCGACTCACTTAACTACTCTTTCAAATCTGCTCCGATTTAACAACGAAAGCGTGTGTTACGTATACAAAAACTCTCCGTTTTCCGAAGCTCACGTTCATCAATTTTATTTTATCTACCCTCCTGGAATTTGGAGCTCGGTCTCACTGGAGTGCAATCTGCAGCTGCATCCTCTTAATATCATCTTTGACTCGCGTTGCGTGGGATACTTTCTAATCTACCCTTTTCACAGGGCACACAGCTGCCGACCTCAGAGCAACGAAAATCCTAACCGTCAAATTTCCTAATATGGAAATCACTGACGGTTCCCCACCAACATTTAGGGGTGTATAAACCCACGATTTTCGTTGCTCGGGGGCTAGTACGAAAGAGTTACTTGTTAGAGACACATTGATCGTCTGCAGAGTAGTACTCTAGTGAGATCGGGCTTCAGTTCCTTTCGATCATCGTTACCATATAGATCCGCGAAGACGGTTTTAAAATCTATTACGGCCATAAAAGTACTCTCGACTCCAGCATCGCCAGTGCGTCAACACCGCGCAACACTTAGGTAATTTTAACTTCATACACTAACCGCGACAACACGACACTGGACACTTGTAATTAGTATAGTTATTTTAAATATATACTCTTTGTGTAAACTTAAAAGTCTGTAAGATCAATCATCAAACCTTTACTTTGAAATCACCAATCTTAGCCAGTGTAACGATCCCACAACATAATAACTTTACCGCTCGAGTTATTATTCTATTAAATTAACAAGTTGCGAGGCTTTATCCGCGACGCGTAGTATTCATTATCGATACGATTTAGTCATTGTGTACTCAACCCGAGCTCCTAAACTTAACCTATTCTGCGGTTACCCTTTACTGGGAGATACCGATTCCTGCTAGCTATCTGACTTCGCGCCAGAGTCGCTACACTTTTTCCAACAACCTCACAGTTCGAACCTTACCCTACGATTACGCTTTACTGGGAGATACCAATTCCCAGCAGCTACCTGACTTCGCGTCAGAGGCGTCTGCGTTTGTCTCCAATAACCAAGACAACCAAACACCTTACCCTACGGTTACCCTTCACTGGGAGATACCGATTCCTGCAGCTATCTGATTTCGCATCAGAGTCGTCTGCATTGTCTAATCTATCCTCAGCCTTCGGCACCATTGATACACAATAATTAATCGTATTGGTTCAATTCTCTAATCTATCCCACTCGCTGGGCTCACACGTGCGTCGCTATCGCCCTGGCTCGTAACACATGATTAAAAAAATCTGAATTTTTGGGGACCTGTTAATAAAGCATTCGCGCATCCGATACCATGAACGGCATTGACGTGGGGTTGCTCGTTCACCCTGCAGATGGGCCTGAAGTTGGGGGTGGGTTTTCCCTAAAAAACATTTTCGTATTTTATTGCCATTCACGCTGGAAAAAGACATCAAAACTGTGTCGCACCGATGCCCT